TGTTCTGCCTTTAGCCCTTCCTTCATTCCCTCCAGCGCAGGGCTGCTGTCTCCGGTGTTGCTCCTGTCTCTGAATTTCTGGGACGCGAGTGACTGTGTGTGGATGCACAGCCAGGGGAGCAGGACTGGGGCCACCCAGCCCAGCGCGCGGCCGCCACCAACCCCTTCCAAGGGAAGTGTGAGGATGAAACCACCGGGGTTTTGCAGTATAACTTGCTTTTTGTCCGGTCGCTTCCTCCCCTCTAACAAACAGTAGTGAAAGCTCTTCAGCTTCCCTCTTTTGCCTTGACTTTCCCCATCCCAAGCCCTTCTAAGATGCTGTGCTGGGATTAGCTCTGACTTTGTTATCTAGCCCCCAAATTATATCTCCCTTGTGGGAGTCTTTTTCAGAGTCTCCTTTAGAAGAGCATTGCCTGGGCTGATGCAGGCTGCTTTTAGAATGACTTCTTCAGTCTGGCCTGCATTCTCCATTGGTAGCCTTTTCATCTAAATAACCCAGCCTTTTTTTTTTTTTTTTTTCTCTCCAATTTAAAAAGAATTTGGCCTTTTGCAATAGTGTGTACTTGTATCCCCATCTACCTGTGCACTGCCACTGCTGAGAGACTCCGACATAACGTTAGTGGTGGTCCCACTTTGCCAGTTTTCCTTCAGCTTTTCCACCGCCGCGGCCGTGCTGGATGGAGGCGGTGCCGGACGCGTGCGCGTCCCGCGGGAGGCACAAGAGGCAGCACGTGCTGGGCTCCCCCGGGCAGCGCTGGCCTCGCGGCCCTCGAGAGCACGAAGGAGGAGGTGAGCAGGGCTGGTGCGGGCGGAGACGCGGCCCACAGGAACCGAGGCCGAGTCCCAGGCGTTGCTGTAGCCCTCTGGCTCCCCGGTGCTCCCTCATACACAATAAATGCAACCCGGTGCTAACAGAAATAGCCAAAAGGAGGCACATCCCTGCCCAAGGACAGGGGTACATCTCACTCCTTCCTCTGGCTTAATTGGCTTAACTGGCTGCCTGGGCCAGTGTTTTTTTTATTATTTTTGCATTATGTTTTTGTTTCAGTTTCTCTTATGAAGGATAACGGAGGCCATTGAAAATGAGACTTAAATGTTGTTAAATTAGTGATAGGCTGTGAGTGAGCTGACAGATGCTGTTTGGCATCCAGACTCTCCCTGGTCCTTCTGCAGGGATATTCCTGTCCCTGCACTGCAGAGCTCTGGGCTGCCACCGGGCTGAGGAGGACAAGCACTTCCCGCAATCCTTAGGGAGAGATGGGAACAGATGGGATAAACAGGGTTGGGAGAACATGGCTGGGCAGGGCACAGGAGCCTGTCCAGTTGATTCTGATTTTAATCTTAACTTCTTAGATAAGGAGTAAGATTAATGGTGGAATTTGGACTGGAAGTGCCTTGTAACAGGGTGCCCGTGTGGAACACCCGGCCGTGTCTGTCGTGAGGGAATCGAGCAGGCTGATCCGCTTGGCTCCGTGCTGCTTCCCCCGGCCTGGGTGAGGGAGAGCCGTGCTCTCGAGGCATCCGGGCCGCGGGGTTGTGTGTCCTTTGGTTACTACTGCAGCAACCCTGCGAGAGGGCCGAGGTGTCAGCAAAGGTGAGAGCAGGGGACAGCGCACGCGGGCAAGGGCTCCCCTGCATGCGCTGCCTTTTCGGAGGGCAGAGCGGGAGCCCGCGCGGGCGCCCCGTGCGCGCTCGGGGCCGTGGCCTTAACGAAATTCAGCGTTTCCACCCCAGGGCTGCAGCAAGGGGCCAGGGGGCGGTTCGTAGCAAGTCAATAAGCCCAGTTTATTGAAGAAATAATCTAATGTGTCAGCCCCTCCTGGGGCTCTCAGAGCTCCCTTTGAAAGGTGGGTGCAACTTCTTCCTTCTTAACTTTTCTGCTTGCTCTGGTTATTAATTTTTCCTCTTGCTCTACCTCATTTCCAATATTTCCAGTGAAACCAGTAGGGACGTGATAGTTTTAGCTTTAGCTTCCACCTGAGCAGAATATTCCAGTGCCAACAGTTCCTGCTCTGGGTGCAATGGAAACCTCTCCGGGGGCTCCTGCTCAGTGGGGTCCTGCAAGCGGCATCTGCCAGCCCCAGCACGTGTTTTAGGACACATTGAAGCCAAAAGTTGGTTTTTATACCCCATCCCCAGCGCAGGCTGCCTTCCTTGCAAGGTCACTTTCAACGTTGCCATGAGCAGCGTTTTTCTTTGGAGCCTGCTGTAAACAAGTTACCAAACGTGCAGTTCCGTTCCATCTCCTTTCCCCTACATGCGAATGGGTTTCTGCGGCCCACACAAGCGGCATAAAAATCATCCCCGTGTTTTTCCACATCGTTCAAGAATGTCCCTTCGGCTCTGGGTAACTTGGGCCTCGGGGTCCGATGCTGCTCTCTGCTGTGTGGTAAGAACCAGACTCACACAGGTGATTTTGCTGTAAACTCTCCCAGTTTACAGCAAAAAAGAAAACTTTTTCTTTTTCCCCCCAAACTTCTTGGGGAGGATTTATGTGAATAGTAAATGAATGAATCCATTTGAATTTTACCAAAGATTTATACATCAAAGGGCTTCAAAATATATTTAAAACGTTTATTTAAAATCCAAGTCAAATGGTTTTAACAAACTCTCTCAAGATAGAAGAAACAGACTTTGTGGAGTAGCTGTGTGGTTTATTCCCGGGATTGCGGTGGTGCCTGGAGAGCCCTGTGCCGCTGGATGCGGTACCGGCGCACCGGGGACGGTCCCTGCCCGCGCGAGCCGCAGCCCCCGCGCGTCGCCACGCGTTCTCGTACCCGCGTGTCCCCGCGCTCCGCTGGGACAAGCTCCAAACCCGCGAGAGGAGATCGGGCAGGAGGGAGGCTTCGGCTCGCCCTTTCCTGCTGCTCCTGTCTCGGGCTGGCCGAGCCTTCCCACGCCGCGTGGGGCTTCCCGAGGCCACAGCGGCTCCCCAGAGAGCTGCGGTTGCCTTGTTCCCAGTGTCCTCGGGCAGATAGGGGTGTTTGGATGAAAGGAAGCCTTTGCAGTGGTTTTGTTTTATATTCTTTAAAAAAAAAAGTAAGATTTTTGTTTGCTTGCTTTTGTTTAGCCTTTTGGTATTTTTTTCCTTCTCATTTGTTACCTTCCCACAGTTGGTGCCCTGTGGAGCAAGGGGAAAGGATACGGTACAAAGCAAACCTGGCTTCACACATGCACGCTGCCGATCACTGAAGTATCAAAAACAAAGCTTGCAAGACCCAAACTTGTATAAATGTGGAGAGAGGAGAGAAAAAAAAAAAAGACACTGACTATAAACACATCAGATCATACTGTCCTTTTGGGCAGCTTTAGCTTAGGGTGGGAGAAACTCCACCAGTTTTTGAGCTTGTCTGCCAGGGTCGCTATCCCATCCCTTTCCCCTCTTCTCAGGTATATCTGGGATTTGCTTCCTCACAGAGCCCTAGAGAGGCAGTTCCAAGGAGGGCTGTACTTGAGTTGGTTCACACTAAAGTTATAAGGTCTTAGGGGCGAGAGAAGAAGCCAAAGGATAATTTCCTTGGAGCCCATGTCCCTCCTGCAGACCCCGGAGTTGGTGGGATCAGGCGAATGGAAAGAAGGGGCCATCTCCCTACCCACGCTTGCTTTTTCTTGGCAAGAGAAAAAGCCCTTTGCTCTTTGTCTTTTCTGCCCTCACCAGAGCAAGGCAGCTCTGCTGTAGGTGTTTGCAGGGGTGTGGAAGGAATAGGGTGTGAGTACAAACCCACAGCAAAAAAATCTCATTGAAAATAACAAACATATAAGTCTGAGAAAGGGAGAAGAGAGGGGAAAAGAAAGCTAAATGGTGATTCCCAACCTGGTTTTGGTTGAAGCCATGTGGCTTGTGAGCAGTACAGGTAGAAGCAGAGCAACTGGCAATTTGAAACTGGGTTAGCAGAGAGCAAGGACAGCCCTTTCCACTGAGGTGCCCATAATTTCTTACCTACCCCAACCCCCCCGCAATAAATAAATAAATATCCTGAAGCTGCGTGTTAGTGTGCAGCTCGGCAGCGCTGTCTCTGGACCCGGGTCAAGGAGACACTGTTCCTGCCCTGCAGGGCCAGGGCAGAGAGCAGCACTTTGAAAACAGCAGCCAAATACAAAGTGCTCTCAGACCCAACCCCTCTGCCCGCCACTGAAGTTGGTTTCCGATTACTTGGCTGTCAAGGGGTTATTACAAAGCTCCTTTTGAGATGTGGAGGGAGGAAAAAAATGGGATGAGTGCCCCCTGGCTCAAGCTCAATATCCAGCATCTGTATTACAGCTACTGAGGGAGAAGGGCTCCTTCCCAAGAGGCTCCCATCCACCACCTCCGGCACAGCACCCATCTCTGTGAGATGTCGGAGCTGCTGCTGAGCGCTTTGAGCCCCCACATCACTAAGGAGAACAGGAAATCTGGGAAATACCCCCTACACTGTAGAGGTGGGCCCAGATGCTGCCATCTGAGTCCCAACTACCCCAGAAGCCTGGGGGAGCTTGGATGTGGACTCGTGTGACCTGTGCCAGGCACAGGCTCAAGCAAGTACTGTTTGAATGCGAAACCAAATCCAAATTCCCACAGATTTTCGGCTGCCATTTGCCTGGGAGCCTTTATTCTATCTCTAATTCCACAAAAGAAAAAGAAACATAACGAAAAACAGTAAAAGGTGCTTTTAAAATACCACGAGGAGAGAAACTGCCATGGAAATAAATAGCGAAAACAACAACGTTAACATTGGTGGTGTCACAGCAACTCTGAAATTCAAGTAGTGTGCACATGCCTGCAGCGCTGCCTCGCAGCCGCTGCTGCCGGCGGTTCAGAGCTCGGGTTGTGTCCCGCTGCTCAGCGGAGCAGCCACCTCCTGCCCAGGGCTGGAATGGATGTAGAGAGAAGGGGAGAGGAAAGATGGATGCGATCTCTGCTGCTAATCAGGTCGTTTCTGTGCCCACCCTGCGCCGCACTTCCGCGGGAGCGGAGCACACCCAAGTTCTCTCGTTTCTATCCCTCCGACTGCGGGCGGCCCAGCCTCAGAGCTGGAAGGGGTATTGCTTCAAATAGTCCCCCATCCGCCTGGGCAGAGGGAGCTGGTCCACGTCGGCCGTCGCCTTGTTAATCCGTAGCCGGCAGAGGTGCTGCAGGCTGGGGATGTTGTCCCTGCGACCGAGCGGGCGCAGGAGCTTCAAGTGCACCGCAGCTGCCGCCAGCTCTTTCTGCAGGGGAGGTAGAGGAGACGGAGGCGGGTAGGGAGCCTCGTTCTTGCTTTCCATCGTGCAAGACATCACGTAGTGCTGGATGAGACTGACCACGTCCGGGAAAGCCAGGATGCGAGGTTTGGACAAGTAGTTTGAGTCCAGCCGGAACTTGCTGTCAGTGTATTCGATGCGCACGTTGGTGGGACCCCGATTTGTCTTGACGGAGAGTGTGAACAGGTAGCTAGGGTGGGTGCTGTCCCGCACCAGAAAGGTGCCCTCGGGCATCTTTTGGAGATGCTGCTTGGCTTCGCTGGCAGTGATAGATCCCCAGTACCAACCTGGAAAAGCATCCCAGAAGGAACTTTTTTGAGTGTATCAAAGAATCGGCAGCATTTTTAGGGAAGTCTTGAAGCCCCCTGAGTACAGGACCTGGGCTTTGTAAGACCTTCAGAAAGGAAGGCAATGTCAAGTTCTAGGGTTTTCCGCCTATGTTCATCATTGCTCTGCTGGACTTGGGGTGGGGAAGACTTTGGCAGCTATTGGAGTTTATGGAGAAAGAGGAGCCTTTTCCCAGTTCTTTCTCCCGACTCAACTGTGAAAGACAAAGCGTTTGCACATGCTCACAATAAGTGACTTCGTGATGCAAGGGCTGAGTTTGTAGAGACTGCAAATCCACACTGCATCACTGGCAGTCAGCTGTGGCTGCACTAGAGCCGGCTTCCTATCCGGAGCGGGGCTTGGAGATTCCCGTTGGATGTGGGTCGCAGAGCAGACTCCGCGTAGCCTCCTCCCCACGGCTCCACGCTGGGGGGTGGCTAGAGCCTTACCCGATTCCCGCAGATAGGAGAAGGTTTTTGCGATGCAGAGGAGATCCTCCTCGGGGTCCCGCGCCGGAGGCGGGCTGCCGTCCGCGGCGGGCGCTGCGAAGGCGGGCGCAGGCTCTTCCTGGAAGGCAGGTACCGGGAGAGGCTGCATGATCTGCTCCGATAAGTCCACGGCGAGGCCCCTGAGCGACAGTCTCCTGACCTTCTCGTCCGCCAGCAAAGGGTGAGGTCTGCAACAAAGAACGTGCCCGGCTGTTAGGAGGAGGTCGCAACGCCTGGGCAGCGCGTGCTGCATCGGGCTGCGGTGTTACGTTCTGGAAACAGACCCCTGATATATTTCAAACAGAGAGAGAGGCAAGGGGAAAAAAATTACACAGCTAAAGGTAAGGGTTTCTCCGTTCAGAAACAGGGAGAGACAAGTGGCCTTTTCCACCTCGGAAGAGACGGGCCATCTTGCCATTTGGCTCAGTTGTAAGCCCAGCCTTTCCAGATGTTGCCCTTCGGCAGGTAGTTTCCAAAGGAGCAAAGCTCCTAACGAAATCCCCGCGTCACTTATGTCATTGCAGAGTTGCAGTATTTCTTCCTCTGTCATGGATTAGTCACTGACAGCGAGATAATTCGGAGCAGAATGGGCAATACCTCGGGTTTTGTCCTACCTGCCTTCTACTGAAGGTTGACCTGGTCTTAAATGTGCCTGCTGGGACCAAGGGGCAGCTGATCTTGTAGCAGAATAACGGGAATTCTTGTTTTAGCTGGCCTCTGGGAAGCCTGGCGTTCAAGGGCACGGAGGACATCTCAGTGCAGCTCTAATCTCCTCGTACTTGCTGTGTTTGCAGTGATAAGAAGCTCTGCCCATGTAGGGCTGCTGTGAACATTATTCCCTCGGCCACCCAAAGAGAGCATTAGTGGAGCCGTTGGGCATCCGAGGGCAAAGTTTCAGGTGTCCTGGGGCTCCTGGGGGCTCTGGGAGCCCCTTCCCCGTGGCATGGAGCTTCCCAAAGCAACGCAGGACCCTGGGGTGAGGGAGGTCCTTGCTGAGCCAAGGTCTACAGCTCTGTGGTTTCCTCTAGGCTCTTTGCCTTTGTGTACCCTGTATGTGACGTGTCCCTGTGTCACAGCCCCCACGTCCCCTCGCCTGCTGGAGGGGTTCTTTCAGGCACTCAAAATAAGAAGGAGGAGTTTGCAGGGAAGGACAACATGGTCCTCAACGTGGGGCTGGCCAGTGGTCAAGGCCCCGTTGGGGCTCATGGCAGTTACAGGGGGCAGCAGCCATTGGCAAAGTTGAATCTACAAAAAGACACTAATTGCCCACGTAATGCAGGTCAAAATGCCACCATTGCCCAGGTGTTCAGAGAAGAAGACTCCTTTGCCATATGTCAAATCACTGATGGGAAGGAGGTGCCTCCTTGGCGAGCACGGCATTTGCCCCTGTTTTTTGATTTCTATTTTTTCTAGAAATAGAAATAGCAGAGCTAGGAGGATGGTTTGTGCCTCCGAAGGGGGGTGTTGCACAAGACCACTGCCTGCTGCCGAGCTGCAAATGGCTGTGCTGGGTGTTGAATCCATGGGAGCAGCCCCACACCATCCACTGCCCATCCGCAGCCCCTGGCACTAGGACTGTAGTCCAGATTCCAAACGTCTCTGGACTTTTTTCTCCTGGAAATAAATTTACCATCTACTCTCTGGGGAAAAATCTTGAGCACAAAGAAATCTTCTTGTCCCTGTCATGGAACTTTTCTTTTTTTAATTTTATCTATCTGCTCTTGAGAGGAAATTTGAGAATTGGCCAAGACTGGGAAGGAACAGGAGAGAAAGTAAAGCTACAGGAGAAAATAAGCTCCCATTTTGGGGCCGAATGCTGTTTACTTCGGAGTCTGACACCCTTCATTCCTCCAGAAGACAGAGCAACTATTTGAATTTTTCATTGTGTTTCTTTTCTAGAGCCCCAGTGCGTCTCTGCGAGGCAGACCCAATGTGCTGGAGGAGCCAAGGTTTCCCACCGCGCTCAGCCCGTCCTGCTGCCACTTGAAGCCAAGGGGAGCCCAAACTCCTCATGGTCCTAGTGGAGGTTCCTGCAGTGCACCGAAGGAAAGACCATCCTTGCACTCGAGCTGTTTTCCTTTTTACCCCTGCTCTGAGCCCTTCTCTCCCCTGCAAAAGAGGAGCGGGTGAAGCAGAAGAGGGGGATCAACAGCTCATGTAGGCCAGGAGGTGCCGGTGTCCCAGGCAGCTTCACGAGCAGCTTGAAGGAACCAAGAGCAGCCACTGTGAGCAGAGAGCAGCGCCAGGCACGGAATGGGAAGAAGCTGGCCACGGCTTCTGTGGAGCTGAGGATGGTCAACAGCAAGGACCATGTGGTCCTTGCTGTGTGCTGGGCTAAGGGCGCATGGAGGAGGAAGGTGACACTCAAAAGCCAGCCCTGTTATCGGGGTGAAGCCAGGATTTGGAGACAGAGCTCCTAAGGAGGAGACCCGCGGTGGGTCAGAACCGAAGGGAAAAATTTACTAGTGAAACAGCTGTGGTGGGCGACGGTAGGAAATGGGGCACGTCTAGCTGGGAGGCTGTGCTGGGAGAGGCAGCGGCCAATTCCCCATGCACCAGCAAGGAGCGTTTCAAAAAGCCTCGGGAAGCCCAGAAAGTTGGAGAGAGTCGGTGTGTCTGGTCTTGCTCACTCTAAGTGACACCAGTTCTACCCTGGTCGGTACCCGGCTACTTTGCTGACAAGCCAAGCTCTGTAACACGGTACAAGGAGCGCAATAAAAAGTGCCCGGAGCCGCTCTCCCACCCATCAGCCAAAACTCCTGTGGGAACCTGACCGCAATAGGAGGGACAATGTGGAGCATGGGAGATGGGAAGTCGAGGGAATAATGAAAGCCAAGCAGGAACCAGCCGTAAAGAAGAAACTAGCGCCAAATGTCTGCACGTTTGCGGGAGGGTCGTTAGTCCTCGCAGCGTAGCTCGGAGCAGGACCCATGGGCTGCTGCCCCCGAGCACCGCGTGGTTGGGGTTGGGGCGTCCACCGAGCACCAAGGGGCTGGGGCGGCTGTTGGACTGAGCAGGTATCGCCGGGATGGAACTCCCGGAATAATAATAATTAATTCCTGTGTCTGCGCCCTGGAGCTTTCAGTTCCATAATACGCTGCGTCTCAGTACATATACATTGCATCGTATATACACAAGCAACAGCGAGAAAGGAATCTGTAAATAGCCTAAATATTTAGCAAAAAATTGACAAAACCATCTGAGGTCCTGCCCAGCAAGTAGTTTGTCCCCCCGCCCCGGGACATCAGAGCAACCTCCCGTCTCCTGTTCGCTCCCTGCGCTGAGCGGCATGGCCCAAGTTTCACCTCAGCGACCCTCTCCGTCCCGGAGGGCCGTGGGCACCGCGTCGCTCCTCGACTCGGCAAGGGGGTAACAAGGGACACGACATCGCGCCCTCCCGCAAAAAAGACGACATTAATGTAGCGATGCCCGCCAGGCGACGCGGCGAAGCCCCTTACCCCTGAACGCAGAGGATCATGTCACTCCTGGACCAGGGGAAAAGCATGAAGTCTGCGCGGCCGCGGAGAAGCGCTGCCTCCTCTGCTGCTCCTGCTCGTCCTCGCCGCCTTTTCCCGCTGCTTTTCCCTGGAACTCGCGGCCCGGGCGGGGGTCGGAGCAGCCGCTGGGGAAATACGGTCTGCTTTCCAGCAAACGAGGGTGTGGGGGAAAAAAGTTAAAAATAACCCCAGAAAAGGGAAACTGCATAAACGTAGGAGGGGAACCGGTCTTGCAGCGAGACGATCTCTTCGAGAAAAAAAAAATATATATATATAATATATATATATTCAGAGCAGTCCGAGGTAATAATAAATAGCAATAAATAACGTCCCCCCCGGAGGAGAGAGCCGGGCGCGGCGTGCGCGGCCGCTGCCTCACGAGCACTGAAGCTCCGAGGGGGAAGGAAGAAAGAGAAGAGAAAAAAAAAAAAAAAGCCACCACCTACTAAGTAATCTTTTGTTTGCCCCTTTTAATCTGTTCCAGGAAGCGAGGGATTCCTGGAATCGTATTGTAGTCACGGCGCTGCGCCGGTATCAGCCCCACACAGGCAGCGAAAAAAAAAATAG